CTTGCCAGCAAGTTAAGGAAGTGTGGATTGGATAAATGGACTATAAAGTGGATAGAAAGTTGGCTAGATCATCAGAGTCAATAGGTAGTGCTCAATGGCTTGATGTCTGACTGGTGGTCAGTATCAAGTAGAGTGTCCGAACATATGGTCCTGGGGCTGGTTTTGTTCAATATCTTTATTAATGACCTGGATGAGGGGATGGATTGCACCCTCACCAAGTAAGCTAGGGGGAGAGGTAGATACACTAAGTAATAGGGTCCAGCGTGACCTAGACAAATTGGAGGATTGGGCCACAAGAAATCTGGTGAGGTTCAACAAGGACAAGTGTAGAGCCCTGCACTTGGGACGGAAGAATCCCAAGCATTGGTACAGGCTGGGGACCAAATGGCTAAGTAGCAGTTCAGAGAAAAGGACCTGGGGATTGCAGTGGATGAGAAGCTGGAGATGAGTCAACAGGGCGCCCTTGTAGCCAAGAAGGCTAATGGCATATTGGGGCACATTAGGAGGAGTATGAGAGATAAAAAGGCATCTTTTAAAAAGTGGAAGTCAAATCCTAGAGAGGTAAATAGAAAGGAGCATAAACACTGCCAAATTAAGTGTAAAAATGTAATAAGAAAAGCCAAAAAGGAGTTTGAAGAACAGCTAACCAGAAACTCACAAGGTAATAACAAAATATCTTTTAAGTACATCAGAGGTAGGAAGCCGCTCCTGGATCAGGGGCTGCCCACGTGCCCTGCGCCCGGTGCCGGCATCGCGTGTGTGCCGCACGCCGGGAGCGGGGCCAGCCCAGATGTTTTGGCAGGCGCACATAAATGCCCTAGTGGGCGCCGTGGCCCCGCAGGCACCGCGTTGGGGACCATTGGGTCTAGACCATCCCTGATAGACATTTATCTAACCTACTCTTAAATATCTCCAGAGATGCAATTTATTCCAGTGTTTGACCACCCTGACAGTTAGGAACTTTTTCCTAATGTCCAACCTAAACCTCCCTTGCTGCAGTTTAAGCCCATTGCTTCTTGTTCTATCCTCAGAGGCCAAGGAGAACAACTTGTCTCCCTCCTCCTTGTGACACCCTTTTAGATACCTGAAAACTGCTATCATGTCACCCCTCAGTCTTCTCCTTTCCAAACTAAACAAGCCCAAGTCTTTCAGTCTTCCTTCATAGGTCATGTTCTCTAGACCGCTAATCATTCTTGTTGCTCTTTTCTGGACCCTCTCCAATTTCTCCACATCTTTCTGGAAATGCGGTGTCCAGAAATGGATACAATACTCGAACTGAGGCCTAACCAGCACAGAGGACTCGTCACAGATTGAAGTGTCATTAGAGGAGGTTTTGGAATTAATTGGTAAACTTAACAGTAACAAGTCAGCGGGACCGGATGGCATTCACCCAAGAGTCTGAAAGAACTCAAATGTGAAATCATGGAACTATGAATTATGGTTTGTAACCTATCCTTTAAAGCAGCTTCTGCACCCAATGACTGGAAGATAGCTAATGTAATGCCAATATATGAAAAGGGCTCTACAGGTGTTCCTGGCAATTACAGACCAGTAAATTTAATGTCTGTACCAGGCAAATTAGCTGAAAGTATAGTAAAGAATAAAATTGTCAGACACATAGAAGAACATAATTTATTGGGCAAATTTCAGCATGGTTTCTGTAAAGGGAAATCCTGTCTTACTAATCTATCAGAGTTCTTTGAAGGGGTCAACAAACATGGACAAGGGGGATCCAGTGAATGTAGTGTACTTAGATTTCCAGAAAGCCTTTGACAAGTCCCTCACCAAAGGCTCTTATGTAAATTAAGTTGTCATGGGATGAGAGGGAAGATCCTTTCATGGACTGAGAACTGGCTAAAAGACAGGAAACAAAGGGTAGGAATAAATAGTAAATTTTCAGAATGGGCAGGGGTAACTAGTGGGGTTCTCCAAGGGTCAGTCCTAGGACCAATCCTATTCAACTTATTCCTAAATGATCTGGAGAAAGGGGTAAACAGTGAGGTGGCAAAGTTTGCAGACGATACTACACTGCTCAAGGTGGTTAAGACCAAAGCAGACTGTGAAGAACTTCAGAAATATCTCACCCAACTAAGTGACTGGGCAACAAAATGGCAATTGAAATTTAATGTGGATAAATTTAAAGTAATACACATTGGTAAAAATAACCTCAACTATACATATATAATATGATGGAGGCTAATTTAGCTACAACTAATCAGGAAAAAGATCTTGGAGTCATCGTAGATAGTTCTCTAAAGACGTCCATGCAGTGTGCAGCGGCAGTCAAAAAAGCAAACAGGATGGTAGGAATCATTAAAAAAGGGATAGAAAATAAAACAGAGAATATCTTATTACCCTTATATAAATCCATGGTACGCCCACATCTTGAATACTGTGTACAGATGTGGTCTCCTCATCTCAAAAAAGATATACTGGCATTAGAAAAGGTTCAAGAAGGGCAACTAAAATGATGAGGGGTTTGGAACGGGTCCCATATGAGGAGAGATTAAAGAGACTAGGGCTTTTCAGCTTGGAAATGTGGAAACGAAGAGGGGATATGCTAGAGGTCTATAAAATCATGAGTGGTGTGGAGAAACTGAATAAGGAAAAGTTATTTACTTGTTCCCATAATATAAGGACTAGGAGCCACCAAATGAAACTAATGGGCAGCAGGTTTAAAACAAATAAAAGGAAATTCTTCTTCACACAGCGCATAGTCAACCTGTGGAACTCCTTGCCAGAGGAGGTTGTGAAGGCTAAGACTATAACAGGGTTTAAAAGAGAATTAGATAAATTCATGGAGGTTAAGTCCATGAATGACTATTAGCCGGTATGGGTAAGGAATGGTGTCCCCTGGCCTCTGTTTGTCAGAGGGTGGAGATGGATGGCAGGAGGGAGATCGCTTGATCATTACCTGTTCGATTCCCTCCCTCTGGGGCACCTGGCATTGGCCGCTGCCAGCAGACAGGGTACTGGCCCGGATGGACCTTTGGTTTGACCCAGTCCGGCCATTCTTATATTTTTATAAGTGATTATTCCCCTTTATTTGACACTCCAGGTGAGGCCACATCTGGGGTACTGCATTCTATACTGGCCCTCCACCCCCATTATAGAAATAGTGTAGATGCTTTGGAGAGAGGCCAGCAGAGGGCAAAAAAAAAAATGAAGAGGGGGCCGGGGAACATGATTTAAGAGGAGAGGCTGAGGGATTTGGGCTTATACAGTCTGCAGAAGAGAAGAGTGAGGGGGGATTTGAGAGCAGCCTTCAGCTACTGAAGGGAGGTTCCAAAAAGGCTGGAGAGAGGCTGTTCTCAGTGGGGCAGGGGGCAGAACAAGGAGCAATATCTCAAGTTGCAGTGGGGAAGCTCTTGGTGGGATATTAGGAAACACTGTTTCCCATGGCGGGTGGGGAAGCACTGGGATGGGTTCCCTGGGGAGGTGGTGGAATCTCCATCCTTAGAGATTTATTAGTCCCAGCATGACAAAGCCCTGGCTGGGATGATTGAGTTGGGGTTGGTCCTGTTTTGGGCAGGGGGCTGGACTCGATGACTCCTGAGGTCTCATACCAACCCTAGGATTCTATGATTCTGATGGATCACTTGATGATTTCATTTAGTTCATTTAGTTCTAGGATTCTATGATTCTGATGGATCACTTGATGATTTCCTGTTTAGTTCATTTTCTCTGGGACACCTGGCATTGTCCATTGTCTAAAGACAAGATACTGGGCTAGATGGACCTTTGGTCTGACCCAGTATGGCCGTTCTTATGATCTTTTAATGATGACTGAATTACTCATCCAAAGTAGCTGGTATTTGTGATTGTAACCTTGTCCTCATATTCTTGTAGTTACTTCCCTTGCTTCCTGTTGTCCATTCTAACTGCTGTCACCAAAATAATTTACCCTCGCTCTTTGGCTTTGACTTCATTTTCTCTCAAGATCTTTTCACTGATTTCCCTCTGGCCCAGTATATCCTCTTGAAATTCTTGTTTACCATTCACTATCTCTTTCTCCCTACCTTTTTTGGTCTATTTGTGACCCTCACTATTTATCCTTTCTAATTTAGATTGAGAACTTTCTGGTTGTCTAGGCCTCAAGCACATTTTTGAATGCTAGACTAAGAACTCAACTTTATATCTGGGTACTAACTATATTCTAACAGTGTGCAACATGTATCATTTTGTGATTGACTCATGTCATGGGGATGGAAAAGACTGATATCTCCTGTTATTAAAGGATTGTTCCCTTCAGTACAGTAAGGATTTACCAAATTTGGTTTTAAAGTACCAAGGAATGGGACTTTCTCCGCATTCTTTGGTAAGCTCCGTGATTTAGGTTTGCAAATCCTTTGTATACTGTGTAACTTTAGGGTATCAAACTTACATAGACATTTCAAGATCATATAGTATCTGAATAGGGATACATGTAATAGAAATACATTATTTTAATTTGTTTTGTGTAAATGATTTTCATAAGTGTGAATTTTGTGGAAGAAAACAAGCCTTCACTCTGCGTTGTGTTTAAGCAACAATTTGTTAGCAAATTTTATTGCGCTGTTTAGGATTCCACACTTAGGCTGTGTCCAGACTCAGGGTTTTTTTCGAAAAAAGTAGCCTTTTTTCGAAAAAACTTCACCTGCGTCTAGACTGCAGCCGTGTTCTTTCGAAATTAAATCGAAAGAATGCGGCTTTTCTTTCGACGGTGGTAAACCTAATTCCACGAGGAAGAACGCCTTCTTTCGAAAGTGCTCTTTCGAAAGAAGGCGTTCTTGACAGCAAACAGGCTTTTTAGAAAGAGAGCATCCAGACTCACTGGGAGCTTTCTTTCGAAAAAGCGGCTTGCTTTTTCGAAATTCCACGTGCAGTCTAGACGCGCTCTTTCGAAAGAGGCTTGCAGTCTAGACATAGCCTTACTGGGGGCTTGGGTTTTTTTGTGTCTTTTTCAGATAATAATAAAATAACACTTTCTAAGATTCTCTTATTGCTTTTCCCCCCTGAAGTCTTCCATCCTGTGGAATGTTCATATTGTCGCTGTGAGAGCATGATGGGTTTCCGGTACCGATGCCAGCAGTGCCACAACTACCAGCTGTGTCAAAACTGTTTTTGGCGTGGCCATGCAAATGGCCCTCATAGCAACCAACATCAGATGAAGGAGCATTCCTCTTGGGTAACTCAGCTTTGTTTGTAATAACGCACTGACCATCTCTATGCACATTTCTTTTGAAAGCCTGCGGTGTTTTTGTAATAGCCTTAGAATTGCAAGTTAAATCTTAAAGGTTTTCAAATGAGAGCTTATCAGTAGGCACATTGCACTTCAGTGTGAATTACACTGATTTTATTTAATGACTCAACATCATTTTGCTCACTGCTGACAATACAGTTCCTTCTCTCAAGCGCCTTCCAATCTGAGACACACAAAACAAAGCATTTGTTGTTGTCTTCCTTTTAGTAACACCATATCTTTCTACATTTCTCTTTTTGCCACCCTAATAACACACAGTAGTTTTGATGTCCTCACAAAGCAAGAAAATACTATGCACACCAAGTGCTCTTTTTAGCAAAGTGGTGTTTAACACAGTAGCTCTTTAAAACAAATGTTTGGACTGCACGTATTATGGAAGACAGAGCCTTTACCCAATAATCTGATAATCTAAGATATAAATGCAGTAAAGTTTGGGAAAATAGACAACTAGGTGATGAGCATATCCCAAGTCACAGCTAATAATTCAAGGTCTAGAAAATTGGATGTCACAGATGGGTGTAGCAGCCCCAGTTGCACCAAGCTTGATGCTACAATTCCCTCTGCTTCTTAGCCACCCAAGAATGAAACTGTGTGGACAATCATTTGAAGAAACAAAGATTACATATCCAATAGTAACTGTGATTCATAGAATCATAGGACAGGAAGGGACTTCAAGAGGTCATTGAGTCCAGTCCCCTGCCCTCACGGCAGAACCACGCACTGTCTAGATCATCCCTGACAGGTGTTTGTCTAACTGCTCTTAAAAATCTCCAGTGATGGAGATTCCACAGCCTCCCTAGGCAATTTATTCCAGTGTTTAACCATCCTGACCGTTAGGAACTTTTTCTTAATGTCCAATCTAAACCTCCCTTGCTGCATTTTAGGTCCATTGCTTCTTGTCCTATCCTCAGAGGTTAAGGAGAAAAAAAATTGGCCCTCCTCTTTGTAACACTACTTTAGGTACTTGAAAGCTGCTATCATGTCCCCTCTGAGTCTTTTCTTTTCTAAACTAAACAAGCCCAATTCGTTCAGTCTTGCCTCACAGCTGAAATTTTCTAGATCTTCAGTTGCTCTTGTTGCTCTTTAGAGTTTCTCCAATTCGTCCACATCTTTCCTGAAATCTTGCATCCAGAACTGGATACAGTAGTCCAGTTGAAGCCTAATCAGTGAATCATTGATAACTACTCTCTCAGAACTATTATCCAACCATTTTTGCACACACTTCATAGTAGTTCCACGCTGGTTATTCAAGAATAGTGATAGAGATGTAGCCGTGTTAGTCTGGTGTAGCTAAAACAAAATACAGGACTATGTAGCACTTTAAAGACTAACAAGATGGCTTATTAGATGATGAGCTTTCGTGGGCCAGACCCACTTCCTCAGATCAAATAGTGGAAGAAAATAGTCACAGCCATATATACCAAAGGATACAATTAAAAAAATGAACACATATGAAAAGGACAAATCACATTTCAGAACAGAAGGGGGATGTGGGGGGGGGGGGGAAGGAAGGTGAATGCCTGTGAGTTAATGATATTAGAGGTGGGGAAGGGTAGATGTCTGTGAGTTAATAGTGTTAGAGGTGATAATTAGGGAAGCTATCTTTGTAATAGGTAAGATAGCTGGAGTCTTTGTTCAGGCCTCTGCGGAGAGTGTCAAATTTTAGCATGAATGCCAGTTCAGAGGATTCTCTTTCAAGTGCAGATTTGAAAGTCTTCTGAAGTAGGATGCAGGTGAGTAGGTCATTGAGACAGTGTCCTTTCTGGTTGAAATGGCAAGCAACTGTTTTTTCTTTGGGATCCTGTCTAATGTCTGTTTTGTGGGCATTGATTCTTTGGCGAAGTGTCTGAGACGTTTGTCCAATGTACATAGCAGTCTGCTCACCGTGTGTGTGTGTGTGTGTGTGTGTGTGCGCGCGCGCGCGCCCCCCGCACCTGACACAATGGGGCCCTGATCTCAGCTGGGACAGAGACTGTCTCTCACCGTGTGTGTGTGTGTGTGTGTGTGTGTGCGCGCGCGCGCGCCCCCCGCACCTGACACAATGGGGCCCTGATTTTAGCTGGGGCAGAGAGTTCCGTAACACCTGGATTTTACAGGGGTGAAGGAGCTGATGCTGACTGGGCCTGCTCCACCCTTTTTGTCTGGAGGAAGGGAAAGGGGAGTCACCTACGGCAGAGCCTCAGCGAGCTGCTGGGTTATACAGGATATTGTGCACTGCGTATTACAAATCGGCAGGTTCAGGTAGAAATGTCATGTTATAAAAAACCTTTCTTTCCCCACTTGCTGCAGTGAGGTAGTCAAGGTGTTACTCCTCCATGGCGAGTATATCTTAGGCCAGAAGAAAAGTTTCTGAACCTACGGAAACTAGCTACAAAGCTTTAGCTTTTGAAAGTCTCTTTTCCAGTGCAGCAATGTTCTTTCTAGAACACTTTCTAGTTCAGAAGAATAGAATACGTCTTGTTTATAGGACATTCTAATCAAACAGCCTCTGAGAGCCGATTAATACTATAACTAAAAGTAAATGTACTTGTTCATTTGTACTGTGGTAGGTAGTGCTGTGAGCCCTGATGAGGGCCGCCTTCTATTAGTCCCTGTCCTGAGAAGGTCACTGTCCTAAGTAATTGACAGTTTGCCTCTGCCGGAATCATTGCAGCTGAAAACAGAGCATTTTTCTCACTGAGAAGCCTTTAACTGACTGTCCCCTATGGGATCTTTTACAGGTGACGCACAAATCATTCTGTACAACTCTTAACCATAATGATATTGGTCGAAGGCCCTGAAAACCAGCACATCCAGTCCAATTTTAAATCATTTCTTTCCCCAGCAGAGGGCAAACTGTCCATGCTCAATTAAAGACAGCTGAATGTTTTGTGTGACGTATGTTTGCAGTGTTGTAGCCATGCTGGTCCCAAGATATTAGAAAGACAATGTGGGAGAGGAAATATCTTTTATTGGACTGATTTTTGTTGTTAAAAGAGACAAGTTTTCTAGTGACAGGGCTCTTCTGGTCTAGGAAAGATACTGAGGGCTTGTTTCATGTAGAGTGCTTTAGCAGTGCAGCTGCACAGATATAGCAACACTGCAGTAGTACTTGGGAAAAGATGCTACTATGCCCATGGGAGAGCCTCTCCTCTTGTCAGTTACTCCGCCTCCCTGAAGGCAGTGCTGTGTTGCCAGGAAAAGCTCTCCTGTTGACACAGTGCTGTTTATACAGGGGGTTGAGCTGATATAACTTCCTAGCTCGGAGTATGGATTTTTCACACAGGCCTGAGTGACATTGTTATACTGATATAGGTCTGTAGTGTAAACCTAGCCTCATAGCGTCACAGCTAAACACAAGGTAGAACAGATTGTCTGCCATAAGTAATTAACCCATATTTTAAGAGACCATTCAAGGGGAAGTGGCCCTGAACAGACTGTGAAGAGCTAAAAAGGATCTCACAAAACTGAGTGCCTGGGCATCACAATAGCAAATGAAATTTAATATTGATAAATGCAAAATAATGTACATTGGAAAACATCATCCCAGCTATTCATGTAAAATGATGGGGACTAAATTAGCTGATACCACTCATGAAAGAATCATTGTCTATAGGTTCTCTGAAGATGTCCACTTGATGTGTGCAGTGGCAGTCAAAAAATGAACAAAATGTTAGGCATCATTAAGAAAGGGATAGATGATAAGACAGAAAATATAATATTTCCTCTGTATAAATCCATGGCATGCCCATCCTGAATACTGCATGAGGTCGTTTTATCTTAAAATAAATGTATTGCAATTGGAAAATGTTCAGAAAACAGCAACAAAAATTATTAGGGATATAGAACGGCTGCTGTATGAGGAGTGATTGATAAGACGTGGGACTTTTCAGCTTGAAAAAAGACAACTAAGGGAAGGAATATGATAGAGGTCTATACAACCATGACGGGTGGAGAAAATAAATGAAGTATTATGTACTCCTTCCCATAACACAAGAACCGGGGTCCGCAAATGAAATTAATAGACGGTAGGTTTAAAATAAACAAAAGGAAGTATTTTTTCACACAACACACAGTCGACCTGTTGGATTCTTTGACAGAGGATGTTGTAGAGGTGAAGTCTATAACCAACTTCAAAAAACTAGATACATTCATGGAGGAGAGGCCCATCAATGGCTGTTAGACAGAATAGGCGGGGGAGGTGTCCCTAGCTTGTTTGCCCAGAAGCTGGAAATGGATGACTTTTGGCAGCAGCATACATTCCACGAGGAGTAACGGTAGTTCGAACTAGGAAGCCTAGTCCGAACTACCTAGTTTGTGCCGCGTGTGGCCGCGCGGCACGGGGTTCGAACCAGCCGGGATTTAAAAATGGCGGCGCCCGGCTTATGCAAATGAAGCCCGGGAAATTCAAATCCCGGGCTTCATTTGCAAGTGCGGTATGCCTACATTACCCCGCTAGTTCGAACTAGGAGGGTAGTGCAGACATACCCTATCACAAGACAGGATATTGGGCTAGATCAGAGGTGGCCAACTCGTCGCTCTCGAGCCGTATGTGGCTCTTTGCTCATAGAAATGTGGCTCTTTAGGGTTACCATACGTCTAGTTTTTCCCAGACATGTCCTCATTTGCCATGTTAAATTGCCGTCCATCTGGCTTTTTTAAAACACACATAATGTCTGGGATTCGGGGAGGGGGTGGTGGCACCTGACTTCAAGGGAATGTTGGATTTTCTTTTGGAGCTGCACGCCTGGACAGTTCACGGCCACTCTGCGCACATGCTCCAGCACCTGGAGGAAAAAGTACATGGTGGTGGCAGTAGCGGTGAGACCCAGGGGGGTTGTTAAAAGAATCTGGGGCTGCCTGGCTCTGGGGGAGGGGAGGGCATTGGGTCAGAGTGGGGGGAGAGGGGAATTGGATTAGAGCAGAGGGGGCTGGAGGTGCCTGGC